GCAGTGGGGGGCAGTGGGGATAGCCCCCCCTCCCCCCCACCTGGCAGCACCCAGTGAGCACTGTGGCCCCACCCCTAGACCCAGGAGACACTAGTTGCCTATCCAGGGAGGCAGGGGAGGCCCCTCCATGCTTCCTAGCTGAACTAGAATTGAACTAGAAGTGCTTCTGGTCCATTTCTGGGTCTGCTGCCGAGTGTGCTGGGGAGCTCCCAGTGCTTCTGTGGGATATTCCATGCGCCCCAGCATTGCAGCGTTCTCAAGCCGCCTGCTCCCTAGAAGTATGTAGAAAAAACATTTAAAGCTGTGTCTGTTTGAATCGCCGAATCTCTCCAAATCAATTCAAAGGGTTCTGATTCAGTTCAGAGAGGTTAAAGGCTCCTCTGAGTCGATTCTGATTCAAAGATTCAGCCGCTGAATCTCTGCAGAATTGAATTGGAGGACCGAAGCTTCACGCAGTCCTGACAGTTGGTGCTGATCTGTCTGCAAGGAGTGACTCAGCAAAATTACCAGATGCTGCCTTCTTCCATTCATTTATTTACTTTGTGATTATGTTGCCCCCAGAGATCTTCCTGCCACTGGTTTCTTCAGAATTGAGTGCCACCAGAATTTGTCTGCCATATGGTTGAATGTTGTATTATCAGTCTGGAAACACAGATATAGAATTCTAAGAATCTCAGTGTCTTAATCATCTAATTTAAACAGACACATGCAGCTTAATTTGTAGTGGCTAATACCTACCAAACTTCCAGCCAAACAGCTCTAATGTATTCCACTTGATTGAGCAGGAAGGGAGAAGGTGGGTATCATCTCAGTAGACTGACATCCTTGAGTTAAATTAGATAGAGGACAGTGTCACTGAGACTCAAACAGCATTGGATTTCTTGTCTTGCTTTAGCAGAACAGTATATCTGTGCAGATGAATCCATTAATATAAATCCAGTCAAGATGAACATTACACAAAGTCTTTTAAAGAACTTGACCACTGAGTCAAGTAGTGTTCTCTGTCTACAACCAGGCACTCCTGACTCATCAGATTAAAAAACCAAGGTCTTCCCATCTCCTATTCTTCCAGGGACCTGCAAGTCTGAAAAGAAAATGAAATTGACAGTTAAAGGAGGAGCAGCCGTAGATCCTGATTCTGGTGAGTGCAGAAAACCAGTTGCCACTCCAGGATCCTTTATCAGTGCAAATGCCTTGTTCATTTTGAAGGTCAGCTTGTAGAAAGAACTGTCTGTGAAATGGTGGAGACTTCTGGTGGGAAGTTTTTAGTCTTATTGACAATGCAGCCTAGTGACACCTTAGAATTTTTATAATAAAGTCTTGACCTCGCTACAGATGTGAGAATGATTTGCATTCAGGCCACAGATGCTCACATTTTTCCAGTGTAGCCCTCATTTTTTTTAAGTATACTTCTGAGGCTCTTACTTCAAGTGGTGAAGCAGGTTCTTCAGCAAGAATACATAAGCACCACCTGCAGAAACTACAGGTCTAGCAGGAAGGGCTCTTTGCTTGAAGCACAGAGCTGCACTTTGGGTGTCAGTAGTTGGTACTGTGCTCTGATGTGGAGAGGACAAGTTGCTCTTGAAGATCCCTGAGCTGTTCAGGGCCAATTATCTGGTTTCTATTCACAGTTTCTAAAATGAAACCACTGAAGGTCAAGCACCGATCAGAGCTTCTCAAAGTAGTTTTCACCAAGTCCTGTGGCATTTTGTTTGTAAAGTATCCTTTGCAGAAATAATGCTGAGAAACCTGACATTAGAAATGAATTCTCTTCACATCCCAGTGGGGTACCTGAGCAGTTCCCTTGCATGGTACCTGCCGTGTAGTTTTGTGAAGAAGAATGTTTGCTTGCTGAAATGTTACATTGTTGTGGCTTTCTCTCTGCTGAGGGAGTAACAAACTTTCTGTGTTTTGTTTTGTTTTGTTTTTATTTACCTCCATAGTATTCCGGTGAGTCTTAACATCTGTTTAAGTGTGTGTCCATGTAAGAAGGAAAGGAGTCTCAAAATGACAACATTGTCTTGGCTTTAATTCACTGCTCTTCTTCCTAGGTTTGGAGGACTCTGCTCACGTCTTTGAAAAAGGTGGTAAAATCTACAGCGCCACTCTTGGCTTGGTGGATATTGTCAAAGGAACCAATTCCTATTACAAGCTGCAGCTGCTAGAGGATGACCGAGAAATCAGGTGGGCTTGGTTTTCAACATAGATATAGCTTTTTACACAAGCCAAATATGAATACAAATGTCGTGGTGGTGGTGGTGGTGGTTCTTAAGCATTTCTGTGAGGTTTTCGTTTTGTATGAAAGTGTTCTTTTGCAGTGTTGAAAACTCAAAACAGCAGACCTGCATAAGGGTATGAAAAAGTGGAATTGACTAGTCTAATTTCATTACTGACAAGTAAAGTAAAATGGAAAAGTAAATATAAATGCTGAAATGTAAATTAGGAATTGGATAAATGTGCTAGGATTGGTTTGTGTTCAACTTCACTGGTAGCAAAAACATCCCAGAAGTGCAGCTTAGGTGGGATGTCTTGCTTTTTGTCTTCATCCCAGTCCTCTCTCCTCCACCCATACCTGTCTTCCTCCCTCTAAGTCCTATTCAGTAAATTTGGCTGTGATGTAAGCAATCCCTGGAGCCCAGCCTAGTTACTGAGTTAGTTACTCCACTTCTGTGTAAGCATGTGAAGATCAGGCACTGAGTAGGTGCCTTAAAAAGGGCCAGAAAGCATCATATATTTAGAATAGCTACCCAGTTGCAGGTCAGAATTGTTCACATGCCCCATTATTAAAGAAAGGTGCAATCAAAAGGCTTTCTGGGACAATTTGATTCTCCCAGGAGGGGGAATGTACAGTAACCTGGGCAAGTCAATGGCTACAGAAAATAAACCTGCTTCAGTGGTAGATTACTTGGGGTTTTTTAATTACTCATAAATTTTGACTCCTTTTGGCCATTTCTCGTATCTGGATTTATGATTGGTATATGAACTTTCAGAGCTGGTATTCCATGCCTGACAAATCTGTAAAATGTATTTATTGAATACTTATACATTGCAAAAAAGTTAATTAAGGTTGCATCAATTAAACAGCTAAAAGCTTTAAAATCTTAGCAGCTTCTTTTCAGCTTAGTTTAGGATTGAAGTCTTACCCAGTCCTTCAGTTGTTTAAAGATGCACATTTTTAATAAGGGTTTTGTGATGTCTGCTGTCAAATGCATGAACACAGTAAACTGAAGATTTCTATTATCTGGTATAATAAGACCTGGACAGGAACAGCAGATAGTCACAGCAATGACTGATCGTAGGCAAGGAAGTTGTGGTCTTATGAAAGTTAACATTAAGTAACCACTCAGGCAGGAACTATTGCCTTGCTAACCTGTTCCTTTCTTCTGGGTTGGCATTATCTATTCAATTGCTGTGATTCTGTCTTTGTATGTCAGATATTTTGTGTCTCATGTCTGTGCAGTCATAGGGAGAATGGCGTTACTGTTTTCCCCAAAGAGCCATGAAAATCCCTTTGAATGCCTTTTTCCATCAGCTCCACTCAGGGTTGCCAACCCTCCAGGACTGCCCTGGAGTCTCCAGGAATTAGTTATAAATCACCAGGACACTGCCAAGAGTCACCTGGGAGATAAATGATAGGGCATTAATTAAAACAAATATTAAATGTTGAATCCAATTTATACAGTAGTACTAAATTTTAAAAAGTAATAGTCATGTGCATTTGCCTGCCTGATGTGTAAAGTCTATGCACCATAATCCATAACTGATATACGCAGGTGTGTTGATGTTCTCTCATGGGCACATTGGCATCGTCTCTCGTGGGCATGTTGGTGTTGTGATAATAATAATAATGGTATTAGAACGTTATTTAATTTTCTGCATTTTTAAATTAACATCCACATGCATGCAGACCCACAAATATTTAAACATGTATTTACAAGCAAAGTATCCTTAACTGGATCTCGCCTTTTAAAAATAAGATTCACATTACAACTTAAGATTTTGCAGTATTGTTTATTTATGCAGCCTGCTTAAAATATGAAATTAAGATTCATATGATGCTCCTTATTTCCACCGAAGGCAAAATGATGGCTCCATAGTGAGTTTTAGAGTACATTAGGTCCATCATTAATGTCATTATGTCATGTGATAAAACTTCCCAGAATAGATCAGAGTTGGCAACCCTAGCTCTGCTACAGGGATGGGCAAAATATGGCCAGCCCATGGGGCCCCTAAAAAAAATTTGGAACATGTAATATTTCTCTGCCCTTGGTTCCTGTCAAAAATAATAGGAACCAAGGGCAGTAGGACCCAGGGGAAGCCCAGCAGGCTCCGCCCAGCCCCACCCCCCACCTGGAAGCCCCTGCCTGGTTTTCTGGGTTGGGAGCACATGGCGGCCCCTGTGTGAGAAGCTCAGGTAAGTTGGGGGAGGGGGACAGGGAAGGGGGGGGGAGCAGCCCCTCCCTGCCCACGCCCAGTGCCCCGCACTGCAGCTGCTCACAGGCTGCATGGGGCTGCCTGTGCCCGGTCCGGACAGCCCCATGTGGCCTGCGAGCACCTGCAACGCAGGGTGCCAGCCACAGGGCAGGTGAGGGGCCACTTTTCCCCATGCTCAACACCAGCTTCGTCCCTGCCAGCGAGCAGGGGGTCAGGGCTGTGAGCTGCCCCCCGCCTGTACTGCGGGACTGAGGGGCACTGGGTGTGAGCGGGCAGGGAACCAGTGGGAGCACGGGGTCCACACTAGTGTCCCAGGGCCAGTGCCAGTGGGGGCCAGAGCAGGGTGGCAGGAGCACAGGGTCCCAGCTAACGGGGGCTCTTTGGAGCCGAGCCAGCTCCCCCCTCTCCCTGCTGGTGCAGCCCAGCCTGGCTCCACAGACCCCTGCCAGCCTGTGCCCCGCTTTGGGCCCCACTGGTGCTGGCCCTGGGACATTTGGTCCCAAGGTGGTGACCTGGGGGCACCTGTCAAGGGGTGGGGCTACCCATGCGGCCCTCGACAGCCTGCCAAAACTGGGTAAGCAGCCCTCCACTCAAAATAATTGCCCACCCCTGATCTACTAGAAGCCAGTTCTGCTTACATCAGGGCTGGTGTGGCTCTAGCTGTCCTGAATGGTGATTGAATTCACTTACACCAGTGCTGAACATAGTTCTGCACATAAACATGTACACAACACATTATGTAGTACTGTTTCTTATGGTGAATGGTTAATGGTGAAATTTGAGATGTTTTTGAGGCTGGTTACTGTTTTTCAAGCATAGGAGGGGGGTGGACAATGAAATCCCATTTTATTTTGTTCAGTAGCATTATTTTGTTTAGCTTACAATAGGAACATAGAATGGAGAAGACCCACTTGAATAATTAAGTCCAGTCCCCTATAATTTTATGCAACCATGTATAGATATTAAGTCCAAAAGGGTTGAAGAGAATATTTACCCCAAGGTTCCATACATGCCACAAAGCGCCCTCCAGTGTTTTTTTTTTTTATGAAGCTGTTATGGTGAGCCACAGAAGGAGAGCAGGAGGAGCTAAGAGTGCCACCGTCTTTGGCCTCCTGCAGTAGCAGGGAATTTGGTAGGTGCAAATATGCCCAGTTGAATCTAGGGGGTGATCTGTGTCCCATGTTAGAGAAGAAGGAGGGAAAAGTGAGGTAGAGGGGAAGGAGGAAGGTGAAATAGACCCCAAATGCAGTGACTGCAAAACACAAGAAGGCTGATCCTGTTCCAAAGGCCACATTGTCTCAACCACAGATGGATAAAAGGTGGAAGGAAGAAGAAAATGCAAACAAGGAAAACAATCAGCCTGGCATATCAATGTAAAAGATCCACTGCTGTGTAATAGAGGGTGACTTAATGTACAGGGGACTTAGTAGCACAGCAACAGGCTGTAGTGTTGAACTGGAAAACTGCATCTGAGAAGTGTTTGTTGGCAGTGACCAAAAGGTGTTTCTGAAGCTTGCCTCGGTGAAGTAAAGTTGGTTTTAGTGCAGGTCCTGTTGGACAGGGGTTGGCATCACAGAGCTCACTTCTTTAACAAGCATCAGCTGGCAACTGCAGTCTCTGCTGAGATGGTTCAGGTACTCTTCACTTAATGTCATCCTGGTTAATGTTGTTTCATTATTATGTCTGTAATCTATTAGAGAACATACTCAGTTAAATTCGCGCAATGTTCAGTTATAACATTTGGCCGTCACCTGTGATGTAATTGGATTCGCTTAACGTCATTTTGCTTAAAGTTGTATTTTTCAAGAACATAACTATGACATTAAGCGAGGAGTAGCTGTACAGGATTGCTTGAGCACCCTCCCTTTTAGGCTGGGTCTGCACACTTCCACTTTTTTCTGCTTTATCTCTGCCAGTGTAGTTATCGTGGTACAAGCCTCCCAGTATGGATCCAGTTGCACTAGCATAAGACACCTTTGTAGCAATGTGACTATGAACTGCTGTAACTATTTCAGTCAAATATATCCATTTAGAGCAGGGGTGGGCAAAATCCAGCCTGTGGGCTGGATTGGGCCCATGGCAGACTCTGTATCCCAATAGCCCCTTCCTGTGCCACTTAGGCTAGTCTGCATGGAGAGCAGCAGGGCCATAATGCTACCCTATGGCTCAAATGCTGCATTATGGCCCAGGAGCAGCAAGGCCATAATGGTCCCGTGCTCCAAGGGTCTCCGTGGAGATCTACTTGAGTGGCGCTAGCAGGGTGCATGGCTGGGTGAGGAGCTGCTCTGGGGCTGGGGCTAGATTCTTGCGGCAGTAACGGTGTGGGCCACAGCTAGGACAGAGCAGCAATCTGCTGCCCACATGCCCCTGTCATGAGCACGGGTTCCGCAGGCAGCGGATCACAGCTCTGCCTGGCTCCATCCCTGCGCTGTCACCAATGCAAGATCCCGGGAGACTGCTGCTCCTGGGGTCTCCATGGAAACCAACCTGAATGGCATGGGCAGGGGCTGCTGGAAAATGGAGTCTGCCTGCTGGCCAGAACCTACCATTTTGTCCACCGTTGATTTACAGCAAGCTGTAGGTGACGTCTTCCCAAGATTACCAGTTCTGGTGCCTTCAGCAGTATTTGTGCATTCTATCCAATACTGATACTTACCTCATTTTTTGGCAACTGTGGAGTAGGCTAATTTGCAAACTTGTCCCTTTATGTAAAGGGACTCTCAGTTAATGGTATCCATTCCAATCTGATATGGATGTCCATATGCTCTTTTTATTGGAGGGTCAGATTTATCAATGACTGAGGGCTAAAGCCAGAGTTCCTGCATCACTTCCTCTCATTTCGTTTGCTTCCAGGTACTGGGTGTTTAGGTCATGGGGTCGCGTTGGCACTGTGATTGGGAGTAACAAGCTGGAGCAGATGCCATCTAAAGAAGATGCCATTGAGCACTTTTTGAATCTTTATGAAGAGAAAACGGGCAATTCCTGGCATTCAAAGAACTTCACGAAATATCCAAAGAAATTCTACCCGCTAGAAATAGATTATGGACAGGTAATGGTTCTTTGGCTTAAATCAATTAAGTACACAGACAGCATTATTGTTAATAGGAGATTTCTGTATTATTCCATGTACAAGACAGAAATATGCAATAGTAATTGACTCAAAATTGTTACGAAACTCCTAAAGCAAGTGACTGTAGAAGCCAGGAGGTGCAGCCAAATAGATCTATAGATCACACTGAAATCTTTGTAAGGCAATCCCCTCTTAACACTGTTTCACTTAGCGCTGTTCCGCTGTAATGCTCATTTTAAATTGACACCTGATTCCACTTAGTGCTCAGCGAGTTTAATTATAGCTAGGGATCTTGGTTTTCCCTGATTTAAAAAATACCAAAATCTCTGCTAAAAAACCCCAAATCCATGATTAAAATTAAAGCGCTCCCCCAGCCCTGCTGGAGGGGGTTCCCAGCTACCAGCGCTTTGGACCCAGGTGCACAGCCCCCTGCCCCCACTCCTCCTTGCTCGGGCAGGCCTGCTCTCCACCACTGCATGCACTCCCGGGGCAGGTGGAAGGACCCGTGGCCCCCAGATTTATATGCGGGGCAGGCACAGGCTGCAGGATTGAGCTCCCTCACTGCTTCTGTGCCCTGTGGGGTCCAGAGCCCAGTGGGCACAACCCAGTGCGACTGGGGACAGCAGGGCCGCGCGGGGATCTCTTCAGTGCTGCTTGTGGCACCACCCCCTGCCCTGGCGATACACCTCCTGTGCCTGATTTAAGGGGCGCAGCCCTGCACCACTGCCCTCACTGCTGCCCCATGTGGAGGAGGTGCATCACTGAGGCAGTGGGGACAGGGGGGCGAGCAGTAGCGAGAATATCCCCCACACAGCTCCGCTGCTGCCTGCCATGCCGGGTCATGTCCACTGGGCTCCCAAGGTCCCGGGGGAGGCGAGCAAGACGGCAGGGAACAGTGGCTCCGGTGTGCCCTGATGCCCTGCTTCAGTCCCCAGCCCAGCGGGCACGAACCAGCACAGCAGGCAGCAGCAGAGCCACACAGGGATCTCACTGGTGCTTGCGCCACGCTGCCTCAGCAACATGCCTCCTGCATGCGGGGCTGCAGTGAGGGTAATGGTGCGGGGCTGCACCCCTCAAAGCAGTAGCAGGTGTAGGAGATGTCACCAGGGCAGCAGGGGGTAGGGAGCAGCGGGAAGGAGCTCCCCGTATGGTCCCACTGTCCACAGCCACACCAGGTTGTGCTCACCTTGCTCTGGAGAGCCCAGGAGAGTGAAGCAGGGTGGGAACCTATGCCTGCAGCCTGTGCCTGCCCCAGGTACAGATCTATGGGGCACAGGTTCTTCTTCACCCTTCCCACCCCC